AGATAATTTGGCATCTAAGAGTATTCTGAGTCACCAGATTTCTAATTGGACTTTGATCTGAACTGAAAACAAAAAACCCTCTCCCCTTATTTTACCAGGCTATCACATAAGCACGCTCTGAGCCAGGGAAACTACATTCTTGGGATCCTTTATTGCAACTTGCTGTTGTAGAAGCATGGGCAAAGCCTTTAAATTTATTTTCTCGTATATAAAAGGTGTAATTCAACTTGAAGACTTTTTAAAAGTCTCTTTACATCTGAGAATCTCCAATTCTATGGCTTCTGTCCCACAAGGCTCTTTTTGACACCAGACCCACATTATATTCATTTTCACACAGATCTGCCAATTTAAAATCTGACACAATCTAACATTCTAGAGCCTGAAACACGATGCTCTATGAAGATCAATTTATCAAATGAATGTAGAGTCGAATAAGGCTCTGTAAGATGTTGGCTCTAAAATCTTGACTCGTAATTTCAAGATGGTATGCCTATAGCTCTGAGAGGTGAAATGGTCTCATTTTACCATGACAGAAAATCAGCTTTCTGGTCAGAAGGAAAGATTCTTCAATTCAGTTTTAATTGGTGATTTTCCTTTGAGAGAGGTTGTGGAGCTGGAGTGGTTAAAGGGATAAAATATCAAGTAGCGACACTATTCACGAACAATGGCCCGACAGGGGGAGCTGGGAGAACTCTGACTTCCATCTTTAGAGGTCTGAACGATTTGAGAGGAGACCTGTAGTGGGGGATTTGTGATCTAGGCTGCATCAGTAGTCGCTGGTAGAAAAGAAGGGGGGATAAGCAAATATCATCAAGTCATGCACGTTGGGTTTTATTTAAGGAAATGTCTCCTCTTGTAGGCAGTGATGTGTTTAAGACTGAGACATTTCCTTTTACTTGTTTCTATTTTAAGTGATTGCTTTGACAGTTCTTTGAAGAAAAAAAAAATCATTTTCTGTGCTGCAGATTCAGTAACTGCCCTTAAATGTCTGATCATGTCACATTTTCAGTGGCGACACCAATGTAATTCGCTTCCATGATGATCTACCAGTCAGTGATGGTGAAAACTAATGACACGGGATTTTCAGAGTGCCGTGCAGGGCAGCCACTAATTAATTATTTGTAATAATCTCCTGGCAGGGAAATTGCTAATATTATTACTTAGCACATCCTTTGCATGTACACTTGCAGAGTGTTGAAAAATTCATCGGTGGCCCTGAAGAAATAACCTTCAGTGCTGTTCTTAGCAGGACGCAAGGAAGCCGCCCCAGCTTCGTGTGTGCACTTGGTGACACGGTCAGAGCCCCAGCTCCATGTGCTCTGGCAGCTTCGTCTGCTACATTGCTTTTAATTCCAGCTGAATAATAGCAGGGTTATGTCAAAGGCATTTTTAATTTATTATTCTAATCTCCAGAGACTGAAGTTAGTAAACAAAAAATTAATTCAATTATAAAGCTGCCCCTCAAAAAAAAAAAAAACAATCTTTTAATGTAGTACTTTTTACTTGGAAGGCATATTCAACAAGCAGACTGGAAAATATTAAATGTGCTCTGGCAATTGTAGAAAAATGTCATTTGGTATGAATAAGTCCCCTGTATTTGGAGTAAGGACTGTTGCAAGATCCTTGCAACATACTCATCAACCAGTAGTCTGTTCCTCAGCCACAGCCTGTCTGCAGGTGGCCTCCCTGGGAAAGGGAGAGTACTTCTATAGTATTCTATTGATAGATTGTGGTTAACATTTAACCTAAATTTGTAATCAAAACATAACTCTTATGTCATGATAGATAGGTAGAAAGGTAGGTAGGTAGATAGATGATAGATTGATAGATAGTTATGGTAGATGGGTGGGTGGATGGATGGATGGACAGATGGGTGAATAAATAGATAGCTGGGTGGATAGATAGATAGATAGATAGATAGATAGATAGATAGATAGATACATAGATACATAGATACATAGATAGATAGAAAGAAAGAAAAATGATATAGGAGACTATGTACTTACCCTTAACAAGGATCACTGGAAAGGAACCAAAGTTTTCAGTTACTAAGCTTTGCTACAAACAACCTTCATCTTAATAGTGGACAAGAAGGATTACTAGTGACAATATTAGAGAAATAATATTGGATGAGGATGCTTTTCTTAGTCACAGTCAAAGGTATCCATACTTTAAAATCTACTGCGTATTTCCTACCTAGTGAGGAGTAGAAAGTGTAACGAGTAGCCAAGTTACTTGTACAACTGACAACAGGAATTACTCAACCCTCCCTTTTGCTCGGGAAACGATTTGTTTTCCAGAGAAGCGTCTACTTCACTTTGTCACTGGCTTCATAGTCCTCAGGTCTTAGCTGAACAAGGAAACACCAGAGCACAACCCAGCGTGACTGATTTGATGTTTTAAACTAAGACAGGTTGCTATTTGAAATAATTATGACTGCTGTTTGTCCACATGTGGCCACTGGATGTGTTCAACACCAGGTCAAACATCTCTGTGTAGGAGGTTCTCAGAGGCTGCGGCTGGTTGAAAGGGGGCCATAGATGCTAGGCAGCTTGTTTAGACGATAACTTTGCAGGGCGCTGTTCATAGACAGAAGAACAGCCCAGTCTTCTCCCTCAAAACCTGGTGGAGCTAACAGAGATCAAAAACGCCTCGACAACTGAATTTCTGAATTCTCTGAATACTGATGAAATATGCCATAGAAAAGAATTTTTATTTTTGACTTACATCAGCATGATGTATTTCAGATGTGCTGTAGTTGGAGCTGCTTGTAAGTCCAATTACAAATGCCCATTTTTCATTTACAAAGAAAACACAAAACCTGGAAATTTAGAATCTTTTTATTTTTCACTGTGTCACTCTGCAAATATGGATTTCTTTTCAGATTGAGAGTCCGTAGGAGATAGATTTGGCCTCATCTCAGTAAGACGAGCAGGAGACAACATAACTTACGAGCCAAACTGACGGAAGGGTGCTGAGTCGGGTTTTGTTAAACTAATCTTATGGCTGGCAAGGATGACATGTCAGGTGTTTCATTCATTTTAAATACCAAGCCATTTCCATAAATCACTTTTATAACTTTAAATACATTAAATAGCCACAGTAATAATAGACGGGGAGTTTAAATGTGCCAGACATGTCCATGTCCTTCACTACATACTGTGTTTCTCATTTCATTTTCCAAAGATGTCTTTATCAGGTTATTTTTATGGACTGATCCATATTTTAGTTTTATTCGTGCATCTTGCCTATTGATGCTGTGATGCTTACTCGAGTCTTGCTGGTACATACACATTCAACCCACGTGAATGGCATCATCGCGTCTCTTCCTTTTTGCTCTAAAAGCAAAAGGAATCTTTTTCTGCTACATTTGTCGATGTATCACAGTGAGGAAAAAAAATACACAGGATGCATTTGGGGGTAGTTAGCATAAAAACTTCCTCAGAAACCTCTGTATTATAGAAGATAATGTGTTATATTTCAGGATATTTACAGTTGCATTTCTTTACTGTGTGAATGCTGTACTATTTTCTTTTCTCCCCTAACTCCCCACCCCCCCTTCCCTGTTTAACAGCAGACAAACCCAGGGAGCACTGAATGAATCTGATGATCCTGAAACAGGCTGTCTAAGTGATAACAAGCCAACTTCTCGACACTTCTATCCCGTCGCCTTGCTGCTTGTCAGCTCACACCTGCTAGTCGTGTGGCTTATTTTAAGTCTGGCATTACTTTTAGCCAAATACCAATAAGTTCTATGTTGTATTCCTTTCTTTTCTATAAATGACAATGGACAATCATGAGGACACTGCTGTAATTTCTACATTTTCAGATTCACAGAATTTAAAACACACACACCCACACACACAAATGTTTGACTTGTAAGTGTTTTGTTTGTTTTTCCTAAAATCTAAAAAAAATAGAAGTACTATGCATTCAGTGAAATTACTTTGCTCTTTTGTTCATGGAGAAGTGTTTCCCACTGTTTAACTCAAGAAGAATTTTTAAATTCCTGTCTTTGGAATAAGACAAAGAGCAGAATCCTGAAAGCTTGAAGTTCTGCACCTCCAGTTCCTCTTCCCATTACATTTATCAAAGAAATTGACTGAATTTGCACAACACACGGAAACCCTGAGACAAGTCCTAGAGATGTGAGAGGTTCCAGACTTGATTTCCGCTGTGCTGGTCTCATTGTTGCCGTCAGCTGATGGAACCTTCTGTTTGAGTTCTTAACCTGGTCTGTGATTTCTTTGCTGCGATTAACCCTTTTCTGTCAAGTAACTTTCTGGAGAGAATGGCTATTTCTGTTTTGTAATTAAATTAACCTGTTTGTAACTATGGTTTGGGTTGATTTGGCTTTCAGAGTCCTTTTCTATTCTTTCTAACAAAGTCTCCTTTGTGTCTTGATGCCCCGTTTTCAGCCCCTGTGACTCGTGTACTGTCTGCGCACAAGCTCGCTTCTTGAAAGCTGAGACTTGGACCAGGCTGTCCCGAAAGCCATTTTCCTCTTTGCTGCACAGCTAAAATATGATGAAGTCAAATAGAGATGAAACTTTTCTTTAAAAAATCTATAGGGCCAGACTTAATAAATTAAATGCCTTATTCCTAGAACCCACATCCTTAGGGCTACATGTAGATTTTAATGTGTTTTAAAGAGATGGAGAAATTAATTTATGGAAAAGTTATAAAAAGGTGGATATATTTATGAAAGTAAAAATGAAGCTGTATTGTGGAGCAAATTATATTTAAAGAGTTTATGAAACCTTAAATATATGTTAAGAGCCAAGGAACTCGAATCATCGTTTTTTCCGAGGGCAATAATGGTGTTGGGCCTGGCCTAGGATTTAATTTTGTAAGATGTATCATCATTTGTGAAAAAAAAAATGTAGAGTTGAATCTTTGTTATTTTTACTCGGACTGTTGCTGCAACTCTGCATTGAACAAATAAAGCATATTTATTTATTCTGTGTTTCATGAAGTTGTCCTTTTTCCCCTTTCACCAGAGAAGGATGCCGCATAGAAAATGTCGTGAAGAATATCAAATGCAGGAAGTATGCTTTCAACATGCTCCAGCTGATGGCTTTCCCCAAGTACTACAGACCTCCAGAGGGGACTTATGGAAAAGCCGACACCTAAGTTTACCAACACGTAAACTAACAGGAACACAAATAAGTTCCCGTTGGATAATCGCCACCTTTCCTTATGTTTTCATTGTCATGCATTTGTGGAGGGAGGTGATCAAAGATGTATGCCCAAATCTAGGAATTGTCTGCATTAGTCATCCATCAGCATATTACTCGGAAAGAAATCCATTAAACAAATCTGAAATACTACTGTGTATTCTAGTTCTAAGCTTCCTCGGATTGATTCTCGCTGGTTGAGATCAGCTCAGAAAGGGAGCATGTTGTTTCATGGAGTATTTTAATGAAAGGTGTTTAGAGAAGACCTAGGTTGCTACCAGGCAACTGGAGGTGCTTCAGAGAATGGCCCTCTCCACTCCAAAGTGACGATACATGTGTGTCAAGGTGGGGAAGGCTTTGAAATATAACTTCATGGCCTTTCTCACACAAAACCTGAGAGCCCTTGGGTGGACTTTAAAAAATATTTTTCTAGTGACTTGAAATTAGGGAAAGTTAACTCATTATCTTGACTACAGAAGCAATTTGTGTGTGCTTGTAAAGACTTTTTTTTTTAAATGGAGGTACTGGGGATTGAACCCAGGACCTCGTGCATGCTAAGCATGTGCTCTACCACTGAGCTGTACCCTCCCCCTGCTTGTAAAGACTTTTGTTATCCAGTCACGGTATGACTAGTCCTCCTTACCAGGCAGATGGACAGTGTTATTAGTAAAGTTGTAAAAATACTTTCTGGAAACATGGTGTCTTTTCAAAACTCTGACTTGGGTTGGATGGACCCATAAGCCTGAACTTTATGCGGTCAAGTTCAAGAAAGACCATAAGGTATCTTTGAGGTGTTTTCTAGCAGTCATGTTGGTACAGAAATACAGATGCTCTAAATATGCATAGATTAGCATATGTGAATAAGCCTTTTAAAACATATGCAACCATAACTAGTGAAAAACCAAAACAATTATTTCTCTTAACCTGAATGTCAAATTTGTCCTTCCTCTGTAAAATAACGCCAGAAGTTTTCCAAAAATCCAAATTAGAAGTTACTTTTAGAAATCAAGTGTAACACCATTATAAATGCCTAAATTAAAGCATAAAGAAGATCTACCCCCAATCACCCAGCTAGATGGTTTTAGAACTATAAACACAATCTCTTCTTACCTTCTTAGCCTGTGGCTTCTGTCTTCTCTAAGTTGCCACACTAAATAGACACAGAAATTGGGGGAGAATGCTAGTTAAATAGAAACTGGTGTTTATTGCTGGAATTGAAGCTTAGAGTACAACAGTCTGAACAAATGAAATTTATTTTCTCCAAATTTTAAGAATATATTCTTTTTCCTTCCTCATCTGAGGAGCATGCCATCCAGAGCATAAATCCTCCATGGAAATGCCAAAAACCTGTTACACAGACATCTTTTAATTATGACCACATTCAGTGGGTGACCTTAGGGGCTTTCCGTCGCTGATGTGATAGCTCTTTGGACAAGACGCCTGTTGAAATTAGGATTCCAAACAGATCTCTAGGCTCACACTGGGTTTTTCAAATTACTGTAATTTTAGCTAACCCTTTGGGGCTTTTAATAACAGAATTGTCAATCTATTATTTTAGTTAAGGACTTCAGGGGATTGTACATGAGGTAGTTAACAACTATTTACAGCCTTTTTAACAAAAAGATGCTGTGTGCTGTGGATTTATTCATAGACAGATTATCTTGGTATTCTCCTTTATACCTCATTCTCCATTTTACTGATTAAACATAACCTTTGAATTGTTCAATTTCATTTGAAAATGGTAGGATTTGTGGTTATTTTCATTATCCCTCTGGATTTAAGGTAAAGAGGTTAGGGTGACAAAGGTTTCCTTGAACAACTGTGAAACCCTATTCAGTATATGAAATGGTACTCTGAACTCCAAGCTACCTTAAGTGATTATCATCCTGTAAATATTCTTATAAACAATAGCTTTTGTTTGTATTTCTAAAAATGAAACCTCGATTCAAATATGGGAAAAATATTTATTAACTAGAAAGCCAACAGTAGGGTTTTCTGTTTGGGGAAGACATTTCAAAAAATTTTTTTTCTTTTTCATTAAATGCTAACATAGATGTTCTCAAAGAGTTGAGCTTACTGTAAGCCAAATGCATATCAGTTCTTATTTATTATTAGCATAGTCATCTGCATTTCCCTATAGGAAGCCTGTATTTGTACTACTTCTAAAAGTGGATTTCATCAAGAACATTGTTATTTCATATTGACAACAGTAATACTCCTTTCCTGAGAGATTCTCCAAGTATCCTTGGAAAACTTAAGTTTCTTTCTAAGTTGAAGAGAAAATGTTACACGAAAAGTTTTCAATCTCTTTTGTACAAACACAGCCTCAGTCATGCTTTTCTATTTCCATTTTCATTTGAAAGATGCACCAGTCATTCAATTTTAAAAGATCATGTTGAGCCAGAAACTGAACTAAGAAAATAATATTTCCAAACAAGAGAATTTTTTTTCTGCTCAAAAACATGTTTACCCTCTGATATCATCAAATATAGATAGCAATTCTGTATTAGTTATTTAGAGTCCTACAGAAAACATTTAAAAACAAGATAAGGTGGTATGCTGATTATGTTTGACCCAGCGACAAAAGACCCAGAGCCTGAAAATATTCTGCAAAACAGTTAAAAGTAAAAATTTGAAGTATTTTATTGAAGCAAACCCACACTTAGATGCACCCTTTCATTTATTTCTTATGCAGCTGTTTCTTTCTTAGAAATATCACCTTCAGTTTTGTCTGTACTCTGCCAAAACAATTCTCTGATGTCAATAGTTTGGTCATTCCAATAATCCAGTGAGTCGGAGTAACCATCTGATCATGCTAACAAGTTGTACTAAAGTGACCAACTGCCCGGATTGAGCAGGATCCCTGTAACTAACCTCCAGTCCTTACTTTCTAAGACTAACACCTCCTCTTCTGGAGAACTGTGAAGTCTTAAATCTAGTGTCTGGATGGAGGGAACTTCTCTTTTTCCCCTCAGCTAAGTATGGTGTTTTGCACAGAATAAGACAGTGGAAAAGAAAAGATTTGTATAGAGTAATACTTTTCTTCCCTAGAAAACCAAGTCCCTCCCTATATAAAGTTTGATAAATGCTGAGAAAAGAGGCTAACAGTGGTGTGCTGGAACTGGCTTATGCTGACTCATGATAGTTGATCATTAAATTCTGTAAGCCATTTGTTAAGCACAATTATTAAATATTAAATTATAAGACCCAACTGATTAAATTTTATTAAAAACAAAGGTAATACTCAAAACTTACCAGTTCCTAATTATTTTACTACATTTTACTATTCATCTGTGCTCTTGAGGTTATGTATGTCAATTGCATCTGCACAAATTAGAGTGTGCTAACTGTGCCTGACTCCACATCCCACTGGTAGCTTGAAATTGACCACAGTGGACGTTACACCACAGAGGTTGCCAAATGCTACCAACCCATCCTTTTAACTCCTGGAAAAACAGTTGTTAAACACTTACCAGCACACAACTGAATGCCACCATCACTTTTTCTCCAGAAGATAACCAATAATTGGAAGCAGTATTAAGTTATTAAAATGGCATGAAATGCAATCACTCATCTTCAGATGGCTACCATTTTATTTTGGTTTTTACCTTCTTTAAAGACTCTTATTAGTCTATAAGCAATATTTGGTGTTTATATTTTAGTCATCATTAAATCATTTAATCGTAATGATGCGTTAAAAAAAGACTCTCTCTGTTCTGCAAGGGGAATCTCAGCCATGCAGCTTTAGTGTAAACAGCAAAAACTTTAGGCTACATTCAGGGAGATGTTAGCCTCATTAGAGCATCACTAAAAATGCGTTTGTACTTCAGTATCAATTTTGAAGTTTATGATCTTAGCATTTGCTAAAAGCAGGAAAAACAGTAACGTATAACTGGGCCCAGATTCTAATAAATGTAGCTCATTTGTGAGCCAAACTGTTAGATTAAACAGATTAAACTCTGGCAGTATGCTAAGTCACACAGATGTTTTAGGTGTTTGATTTCCGAACAGAATGATATATCAATTGTTTAGTTCAATATACAAGGCACCTTTTGTAATCTCTTGGGAAATACATTAACTTTTATCACGGATTTAAGAAACTGGTCTGAGAAAAACTGTGGTCAGCAGTTGTTGCAGAGGGAGGCAAATACATTGAACACAAGGCGTCCCTAATAGCTGGAGGCTTCACACTTTAAGAGCTACTGAAGAGGATAATATGCTTAGAGTCCTGTTGTTGATTGATACTTTTAGGTGAATTCACAGAATTCACATTCATTGAGCCTAGCTGCAATCAGCAAGAGCTATACTTTTTTCCCCTCCTATATTTATGTTTCACTACTTTATAAAGAAAGTACCGATCGATGATAGCTTTTGTTTCTTTGGACGATTTAAGTCAGAACTTTCTGTCCAAACAAATGCCACCTATAGCAAAAACTGCCTTTAAGAAACAGAAAAAAATATAATATTTTAGATGAAATATTGCAGGCCAATTAGGTGTAGAGTTAAGGTGTGGGAATTTGGATTTTCACCTTCTAAGCCATAGTGCAGCTTTATCATTCTAATTTTATTTCTAAGCAAGTAAGAGGAAGTCTAAAGTATTTCTGATATCAAAGAAACAAATCCTATTTGGCTCTTAGTAACAAGGCGGTAGGAAAAATTATAAGGTGCAATTTTAACCTAAAAAAAAGGTGCATGTAATCAGCTCTCCTGAGCTTGAATTTTCATACCTTACATGAATATTTAGAGTTTTAAATTTGCAAAGGAAAACAAGACTCACAGTTGAGTATGGTGCTCAGAGAGACTGAGCATTAAAGGAGAGAAGACCTAGTAGAAGTGATGTTACCTGGTCAGCCATACCCTGCTTATCTTTCCGTAGTTCTTTAAAATGATTCACTTTCGCACTCATGGTATGATTACATTCACAGTCTTCCAAAAATCACCAGAATTACTCCAAGGTCATAACAGGGCACAACCCAACAGTACATCTTTAATGATGACTTACTGCGTTTTTATTAAACAGCAGGAAATATTGACTCAAATATTGGCAAGATTGCTACATTATCTGTATTGTTCTCATGATGCTTTTATATCAGTATCAATATTAAAAAAACATTTCATGTCTAAGAGTTTTCAAACTTCTAAAAGGCAGACTCTCTATGTGTCTGTAACAGTATAGACACCCCTCTTTCACTGCACACGTGCAATGCTTGGTACACATATACTTCTCATATGAATATTTTGTCCTTTTATTTAACCTAACATCTAATTTTCAGATTCGTGTGGTACTTATCTGAAACATCGGCATTTGTTTTCTTTTAATGTTAGTTACATAATCTCAATGAACCAATAATGTGTAGTCCTAGGAAATGAGGCACAAATAGGTTAGATCATTTTATATTGACATTTGAAGAAATGTCATTTTGTTTTATTGTTCTGTGTAAACCATATTCATTGTACACTGTGTGTATATTTTGTTTAAATAAATGTGATTTTTATTTTTTATGTTTCTGTCTTTTTCTCCCTATTATACATTTTTTTTCATTTTTATCAATGTAGCAATGTCTAAAAATTAAACAGCAGCAGGTAGCCTAAACAATATTTCAAAAAGAAAAGACTAATTTTCTGATGAACTACAATTACAATAGAGATTTTAAGCTGATGTTAGTTTAGTGTCACATTTACTAGCAGAATGCATCTTTTAGGGTTGCTGTTCTATGGGAATAAAATCGACCATAATTTAAAGAGGATTCAAGAACCAGTTGTCAATGCTTCAACTCTGGGCAAATCATCGATCTTTGTCCTGTAGATTATATTAGTCATTTGAGCACATGAGATAACTTTTTCTTATAGGCTTCGGAAATGATGAATTGCAATTCATTATAGCAGTAGATAGTAGAAGACAAATCCCAAAAGGTTTTAATTAGATCTTGTTGCAGAAAAAATTAACCGACTGAGGCCCTTCATTGCATGTAAAGAAAATGAGGTTTTGCCATTGGAGAATTTCAAGAACGTATCTGATCCTGCAGCAAAAAAGTTCTGTAATGTCATCGTCATCAATATATATTCATACTAACATGTCTCTACGTCTGAGCAGGAACGATGCTGGAGGTAACCCCATTGTAACAATGCTTAGTGAACGGTAGCAAAATGTGGCCTACTACAGAAGGGTAGCCTGAGTGGAGTAGGAGTACTCTTCTGTCTTTATGCAAAGGTTCCTTGAGTTTTGTAAGTGACAGCCCCACTCAAAGTCAAAGTAAAACAAGGCACTCATAACAGCTACAGTTTGGTATCTCCAGAGAGGGCAGTTGGAAAGGTGGATAGATATAATCAGGACATGTAAAGCCAACACCCATTCTAAACCAGAGTAGCCACATGGGCATGATTCTGTGGCTCCCTAGAACAACAAAAGCTGAGTTCTCTGTTTTCTTAATGATCCTGATGAGTAAGAGTGACCCAAGAACAGATTTTTAAGTAAAAAGGGGAAGAGAAAGGGGAAAGCACATTGGGGTAGGATTCCAGGAATGTGATACTCAACCATTAAAAGCTCCCTTCTATCCTACGCCATATGAATTTGTTACTATAGCCCTTCATTTCAGAATTAAATAATAGCAATGATGATAATGGTCTGCTTTTTGCCTAGGGTGACGACTTCTCAGTTTTCAAACCAGCTGACCATAAACCATCCCTCCTTGGTGTTAATTCGCCTCCTTTGAAGTGAATGTGAATGTGCTGCCCTTAACTACTATTTCTGCTTCCTCTGCTTGCTTCTTACATTTAAGAATTACCCAGAAGTCTAGACTCAGTGTTATTTTCTCATTTGATATGCTCTCCTTTGAGTTCTTCAACTGTTTATTTCTAAGGAGAAAACTCCAGCACAGGACTAAGGAACGTGGACTTTTGAGTCAGACTTTCTGGATGCAAATCCAATTCCCCCACTTTATTAGATATGGAAATATATGTCAAGGTGCTTAACGTGTCCATGTCTTCACATTCTTATCCATAAAATGAGGGTAATAGTATGACTTAGTATTTCTTGATGAAGAGGGAGTGAGAAAATATATGTATAGCCCTTTGCCCCAGGTCCACTCTGCTGGATCTTCTCTGCTGGCATTCAGCCTCTGTTCCCACCATGGGTTAGCCTCCTGAAGTCCCACTTACCGGGAACTTAAGGGCTGGAAGACTAAGAACTACATTTCCTTAGCACACTTACCGAGAGAGTGCAGGATATCATACAGCTTCTGCCAAGGAGCCCCACCTACACCATATTTGGAAGACAGAAGGAAGACAGCAAGGTGGGGGAGGCATTGACCCCTCGTGCATCAGAGCGGGCAGATCAGAGTGCATCGGAGCTGAAACTCCCACATTTATTGTTGATTCCACAGCGTGCTGGTGGCAGTGGCTGTAACTTCAGCCTGGAGAATGCCATAGCAGCAGTGTTTTCCTAATCTGTGGGCGTCTGTAGTTGTTCCCGAACACTGGACCAGAGGAGCTTGAAGTCAGAAGCCTGGTAAGAGTTCACTTCTGGCAGGAAGTTCCTCTTTCCTTTCCAATGGTTGTATCAACATCAAATCCCCCATATTACATATACAAACTTATTTTCTGCTAGGAAGAGCTAGACTGGATTCTCTGTCCTGCACTGAGCTCTGGCTGATGCTCTCAGCCTATAGGACGCATTCCATAAATGTCTTTTTGATAGTTGTTGCTGATTAACTTATTTATCTTTGATTTTTCCAGCTGGGGTCCAGCACCGCTCTTTGTGTATGTATATGTTTTAAGAAACTCTAATTTCATTGCCCTCCTCCCAGTTTGCACATCACCCTCCTAAGGATTCCATCTGTTAACAGAATCCATATCCTAGTCACTTGGGTTCACGAGCTTGGATCAGCTTTTGACACATAATATTCCATTTGTCCCAAAGGTCCGTCTGTGTTACCACCATATCCCTCAAATCTGTCACTTCCCCCTTTCATTGCCACAGCGATTTTTTTCACATGCATCCTCTATTACCCGCATAACTATTGTTCCATCCAAACTAAGTGAGGCTTGGTATTCAATGACGCCCACAGTGTGGCCTTATCTTCTCTATCAAGGCTTATTTTCTATCCCCATGCATATCCACACTAGGAGTTTGCATATACAGTGCATGTCCCTTAAACACACCCGAACACACACATACACAGACACACTCAGACACCCAGATTTTCTCACGGATTTTCTCTCAGGCTCTTTCCTTTTTCCCACCATTCCCAAAGCTATTGCTCAGAGTTGAACTCATATGCTTCTCATTCCGAAGCAATCTTCTCATCTAACTGTAAATGAAATTCGTCTCCACTATTCCAGTTCTTACATAGTACTTTGTGTTATGCATTCATTCATTCATTTGTACATTCATTTTTTTTTTACTCTTTCATTCATTTAAAAGATATGTTTGCGTGTCTGTGTAGCTGGCGTGCTGTTAGACACAGGGTCCAGGCTGGTGGGGGGAGGCAGACAAAAATAAAACCAACTAAGTAACAAGTTAGAAATATTAATTATCATGTATGATATGAAGTAAGTGATCTGGGAATTTTTGCAGAGAATCATGGTGTAGATCGGGTGGTTCATTGCTTTAGACAGAATGGTCAGGGGCGATCTCTCTGAGGAGGTATCATCTAGATTAAGCTGTAAAGGAAGAGAATCATCCAACCAAAGGAAGGTAGGGGACAAACAAGGACAGTGTGTTGGGGGGACCAGCACCTGGACAACAGAGTCTGGGGCTGGGGGACAGATGAGATTAAAGTTAGCAAAAGCTTCTTATGTGCAATTAGAAGTAATTACGTGGTTCCAAGCAGGGGATTAAAGTGACCTGGCTTAGAGTTTTAAAGGTTCACGTCAGGTGCTACACAGATGCTGAATTGTAGGGAATCAAAACGAAGTGTGAGGTAGTTGGAAGGTTCTGCAGTATAGTGAGAGGTGGTGTTGGACTGGGGTTAAGGCAGTGAAAATTAAGAAAAATGGAGAGAGAGATTCAAGTGATATGGAGGGAGTAAGAATGGCAGGACTGGCTGATGCGTTGGTAGCAGTGGAGAGTGAGGGGGACCAAGTAATTAAGGTGAATTTCATTCCTGACTTGAGCGACTGAAAAGTGATGGCAACATACTGAGATGCAGAAGAGGGAGGCAAGAATAGGTTTGAGGGGAAAGCAGTTGTTTGGCCTTGAACATGGTTAAGTTCAGTGGATTAACTCATCCAATTCAAGCCTGGAATTCATGGAGATGAATCCGGGGTGCAGAGAAAAGTCTAAAGTGGGCACAGAAGAGCAGTGTAAGCTATCAGCCTGTGTAAATGAATAGAAACACTCAGAATAGTAGTCAGCACTTGGAGGAAAGTGACAGAAAAAAAACTTAACTAGCTTAAACAAAAAGCAATTTCTTGACTCATAAACTGGAAAAGAGCAGGAGTTGAATTATAGGCTCATCTGGTACCTGATGTTTAAATCTTTAAATGATTATTTCAATTCTGTCTCTCTCTCCCTGTCTCTCTCTTTTTCTCCCTCCCTTCTCTCTCTCTCTCATCTCTTTCTCTACCCTGTCTTGTGGATTTTTTTTTTTGGACTGTTCTTTCCCCTTAGTATCATTTTCCAGAAAAAGTCTGCCAGTTCAGGC